TAACTGCCCTTCCGATTCTAGTTCCCCAAGAGAAGTCTAGATTTGCTGGCCCCAGGGGCTCCTCTCCCACCTCAGCCTTGAACACACCACAGTTCGGCTTCTCCGGACTGTTGCATAGAAGCTGCTCTGGCAAGGCCACCCCATCACAGCCCCTGGGGCCACAGCCAGGGACCCAGCCCTGCCCGATGGCCAGGGCCTCTGTGCAGCCTCCTCCTCTTTCTTGCTCCTCCGCCCAGAAGAGTGAGGAATCACTCCCCGGGAGGATGACCACACCAGAACCCCTTCTCCATTCTCCTCCTGGGCTCGTGGGCACGTATGCGCATGTGCCTGGCGTGAGTTTCAAGGTGCCAGGTCTGGGACTCGAACCACAGTCAGCCACTGGGAGTGCAGTGGGATCCACCGCACCACCTGCTGGCCCGGCCTGCTGTGTCTAGTCCTGCCCCCATATGCCGGGACACCGGAAAGGAGAGATCCTCACGCGCCAGGCACCAAGCACCCCCAGGACAACTCGACTATCCAGAGGCCCAGGGATAGGAGGGGAGGCTAGGGTGGAGGGCAGGGCAGTGGGGAGGAGGGGGTCTCTAATTCCTCCTCTTCCCTTCTGGGAAGGCAACGAGCAACACCTTGAGCAGAAAACCACCAGGGGGCAGCACAAATGCAACCCTGGGAGGTAAGGACGCACCGGGAACAGACACAGCTGTGGGGGGGGGGACAACTGCCCCCTTCCACGGCTCGCTGGGAGGAAGCACTGGACTTGGAAACCATGTCCACGTTCGATTTCGGCAGGGGAGTGGGAACGCAGCGGCCAGCTGCGACAGCTGGGCAGTGCCTTGAAGTTCCTTAATGCTGAAGCCACGCAAGGGGGCCCTGGGCTCAAGTGTCGTGGCCTCCCTGTCCACTCTGGGCAGCCCCGAGGCTGGGGTGCAGCATGGGGATAGCGCTGGGGTAGCTCCCAGAGAATCAAACTGCTTCTTTCTTTTTCTTTTTTCTTGCCTTTCTTTTTGGCTATAGCTATAGGGTGTGTGTTCTCACTGGAGAGAGTCAGAGGCAGAAAGAGAGGGAGAATGAGAACTCTCTCCCAAGGGGGTGGCCACGCCATGATACCTTCTCCTCCAAGGATTGTGGGCACGCACACACACATGCCCAGCGTGATTTTCAAGTTGCCAGGTCCAGGACTTGAACCACACTCGGCTATGTGGGAGTCCAGCACCTCAACTAGCACGCCACCTGATGGCCCTGCCTGATGTGTTTAAACCACTGAGTCTGGCACCTGAAGCACACAGTGGCCCATACAGGATTCAGCTGCCTTAACTTCACGCCATCTGCTGGCCCATGGAATACATGTGGTCTCTCTGTCTTTTTTTTTTTTTCCTTTTTTTTGGAGAGGTTTTTGCTATAGTGCACGTGCGCTTGTGCGCTCGCTAGAAAGACAGATAGAGAGACAGAGAGACAGAAAGTGAGAGATCACCCCCCAGGGAGGATGGCCATGTCACAATCCCTTCTCCTCCATTCTCTTGGGATCTTGGGCACGCACGCACATGCACCCGGAGTGAGTTTAAACCACTGGGTCCAGGACTTGAACTGTGGTCAACTACATAAAAGTCTAGCGACATAGCCATTACACCATCTGCTGGTCTCAAGATAAATGTGTGTGTGTGTGTGTTAAAGAAAATAAAGGGTGAATTTTAAAAGGCAAGGGCCAGCCTTATAGTCCAGTGGTTAAGGGAGTCAGATCCCACATGGCCAAGCACGGTTCAAATCCCAACTCTGCGGCTTAAAAAACACACCAGGCACAGGGCTGGCAGGTGGTGTGGTAGTTAAGGGCGCTAGACTCCCAAGTGGTCGACCACAGTTCGAGTCCCAGACCTGGCAGTTTGCTTTCTCACTTCCCTCTCTGGTCAAATAAAACATAAGCAAATAAATAAATAAAGTTAAATAAAACAATTCTTTAAAAACAAAACAAAACACCAGGGGCTTGTGCACCAGGCCCCAAATCCTGACAGGATGGAGAAATGGGAAGAGACAGCATGTGACTCGCCTCATCGGCAGGTGCTCTCTCCCTCTCCCTCTTTCTCTGTCTCTCTTTCTAGTGGGTGCACCCGCCCTTGGGCAATTAAAACGAAAAGCCAGAATTACAAATGGTGGTGACAATATAGAGAAATGGGAAGGCTCACACGCTGCTGGCAGGAATGTAAAATGGGGCAGTCATCCAGAGAGCAGTCTGGAAATTCATTGAACTGTGGAGCACGGAGTGACCATATGGCCCAGCACACGCCAGGTAGCTGGCCAAGAGCATTGGAAACGCCCGTCCACCAAACACGGGCTACGGGGTTCACAGAGCGCGCCTCCTGCAGCCAGAGTGCACGGAGCTACAGACCGGGGACCAGCACGGGCCAGGGGAGGGCAGAGCACTGAGGGGGCTATAACAAGGGTAGCCCCTAAACCATCTTTGCACGAAATCCAAGTCCACTCGCGTTAAACGCCCAGGGGGCTGCAGGGGCTGGGCGGGGGAACGGAAGTATCTGCTAGTGGCTGCACAGTCTCTCCTGGGTGAGGACAGTGTTCTAAAGCTGACTGTGTCTAAAGCACACAAGTGCAAATCCTCAAATGGGTGACTCATACTGGATCTTCCATTGTCTGCACAGAGCTGTATGCACATGTGTGTATGCACACACACACACACACACACACACACACTTGAACTTCGCATCCATTAGTATGGCTACTATAATAAACAAAAATAACGCGTTGCCAAAGATCTGGAGAACCTAAAATCCTTGTACACTTCTGGAGGGACATAAAATGGTGCAGCCACTATGGAATACTTTGGCAATTCCTCAAAAACTGAAAAATAGAATGACCAAACGATTCAGGAAGCCCCCCGTGGGTCTGCATCCAAGAGTTACAAGTGGGATCTCGGAGAGTGGTCTGCGCCCCTATTCCCAGCAGCACCATTCACAGTATCTAAGCTGTGGGAGCCCGAGCAGTGTCCACTGATGGACGAGCGGATAAGCATGGTCTGATGTGCACACACACGCGCACGCACACACACACACGCATATTTTTAGTGTGACAAAGGAAGGAAACTCTGACACAGGCTCTAACGTGTGCGAACCTTCAGGGCATTTTGCTAAGCGGAAGAAGCAAGTCTCAGAAGGACAAATACCGTGGGGTTCTACCGACATGGGAGGCCTGGAGGAGGCAGAACCGCAGAGACAGATAGTAGACCGGGGCTGGCCCAGGGCGCAGTGGTTAAACCTGTGCACAGGAGTCAGATCCCGCACTGTCCACCACCTCAGTTCGAATCCCAGCCCTGATGGCTTGAAAGGCATGGCATGCACATGTGCGTGCAAGCCCTAAATCCTGCTGGGGTGGAGAAATGGAAGGGAAGGGGCTGCAGCGTGACCAGCCTGCACCGGAGGGCGCTCTCCTTCCCCGTCTTTCTCTTGTCCATGTGCCCTGTGGCGATAAGTGAACAGGAGACAGGCAGGCAAGGAAAACAGAATGGCAGGGGCCAGGGGCTGGGGAGGGGGTGGGCGTCGGTGTTTCAGGGACAGAGTTTTCACTGGGGATGATGAGAAGGTTCTGGAGCAGGTGGGCGACGGTTGCAGGACCCCGGGAATGTTCTCACCACCTCGGAGCTGCACACTCACAATGGTTAAGGCAGGGAGCGTCACACTGTGTATTTTACCACAATAAGAAATGAAATTGGGAAAAATACACACCCTGGCCCTTGGGAAGGCAGTTTGGTGACTAAAGGAAGGAGCCACAAGAACAACCCTACTTCTGGACTTCAAATAAGGAACGAAGCCTGTTCTAATTT